ATTTTGGATATTAACCTAATTCTATAATTACTTTGATAGGTTAAGTGATCCTGCCTAATCTTTTACATGTTTTTCAGCAGTTTCATCCTGATTTCTTCTTGTGAGCTAATTTTGGTGCTTTAAATTTTTTTTGAGATAAGTATTTAAAATTAATTTGCTAGTAAAAATTGTATATTTTTAATAATGGGATATTTATGAAAATAGAAGTCATCAAAAATATGATATTAAAAATATGCTGTTATATTAACTGTTGTTAAATCTAATCATGAATTTTGAATTTCACTGTTCATGCTAATGAGGTGCTTAGAAAACAGTAAGAAGCATTTTTTGACTAAATTTTTAAGGAAGTCTCAATTAATACAACAGATTCTGTTAAATCTTCTCCTAAAAGAATGTATTTCTTGAAATATTCTCGGGGCTCAAAGTTTAAGATCTGCAATAATGTATTATGCTCTCAGAGTCTAGTCTTGAACATTTAATAACATTGTGACAAATATTTATTTACCGTTGAAGTAGGAATCTTTATTTGCTGACACTTTATGATGGTTCCTCAAGTGGTCCTATTAGATGTGATAGGAATAAATCAACTTAATTTCCTCACGATGCTCACATTTCATTTTCCTCACAGAGACAGCAAAGCAGGGTTGTTCCATGTTACATATTGAGCTCCCTCCTCCCAAGGTGACTTTTAGTTTTTGGCTCATTGGTAAAAAATACGAATGGAGCATGATTTAAAGCACAGTCAGAACATTCTTTTGGTTTTTTTCATGCGTAATGTATTTTTCCATTACCATTTATTCCCTCATGCCTCCCTCCCCCCAGCAATCATCACACCGTTGTCTGTGTCCATGAGTCCTTCCTTTTTCCTTTTTCCTCAATCTTTTTGCAGCCCTAACCTCCCCACTGCACCAGCTGTCATCTGCTCTCCAGCCATGAGTCTGTCTCTGTTTTGCATGTTAGTTCTGTTTGTTCATTAGATTTCACATATGAGTGAAATCATACGATATTTGTCTTTCTCTGGTTTATTTAACTTAGCATAATATTCTCCAGGTCCATTCATACTGCTGCAAAGGGTAAAACTTCCTTCTTTTTTATGGCCAAGTAGAATTTCATTGTGTAGATGTCCCATAGTTGTTTTATCCACTCCTCTACTGATAGACACTTGGGCTGCTTCCATATCTTGGAAATTATAAATAATGTTGCAATGAACATAGGGGTGATTACGTTTTTCCGAATTACTATTTGGGTTCCTGTGGATACATTTGCAGCAGTGGGATCATTGGGTCAAAAGGCAGATCCATTTTTAATTTTTTGAGGTATCTCCATACTGCTTCCCACAGTGGCTGCACCAATCTGCATTCCCACTAACAGTACATGAGGGTTTCCTTTTCTCCACAACCTCACCAGCACTAGTTTGTTGACTTATTGATGACAGCCATTCTAACAGGTGTGAGATGATATCTCATTGTGGTTTTAATGTGTATTTCTCTGATGATTAGTGACATTGGGCATCTTTTCATACGTCTATTGGCCATCTGCATGTCCTCGTTGGAAAAGTGTCTATTCAGGTCCTTTGCCCATTTTTTAATTGTGTTGTTTGTTTTTTATGGACTAATTGTTTGCTTTTAGATACAACTCCTACAAAATATAGTCAACATTTGCTTTGATCCATTTGAATATATTCTGAAAGAAAAACTACCAATCATTTAATAGCATACTAATCTGGGTATCTCTAAGTACAGTAGCATGTCAACTGCAAATCAAGACAGTTTTACTTCTTCCTTTCCAATTTGGATGCCTTTTAATTCCTCACCTAGTGAAGTACTGGAAGTACTACTTCCATTACTGGCCTTTATTACGTTTGGGTATGTTCCCTCTCGTCCCAGTTTGCTGAGAGTTTTTTTTTTTTATCATAAATGAATGCTGGATTTTATTAAAAGCTTTCTCTGCATCTATTGATATGATCATGTGGTTTTTATCCTTCATTTTTTAAAATTTAGTGAATCACATTTATTGAATTGCAGATGTTGTACCAACCTTGCATTCCCAGAATAAATCCCACTTCATCATGGTATATGAACTTTTTGATGTATTGCCATATTTGGTTTGGTAATATTTTCTTGAGTATTTCAGCATCTGTGTTCATTAGTAATGTTGGTCTATAATTTTCTTTCTTTGTTGTATCTTTACCTGGTTTTGGATTTAGAAAAATGATGGCTTTGTAAAATGAGTTTGGGAGCCTTTCCTCTTCTTGAACTTTATGAAATAGTTTGAGAAGAAGAAATGTTAGTTCTTGGAATGTTTGGTTAAATTCACTTGTGAAGCCATCTTGTCCAGGGCTTTTATTTTTTGTGATCTTTTTTTGATTAATGTTTCTATTTCATTAGGTGTAACCTGTCTATTCAGATTATCTGATTCTTCTTGATTTATTTTTGGGAAATTGTATATTTCTAAGAATTTATCCATTTCATCTAGGTTGTCTAATTACTTGTCATATAATGGTGCATAATATTTTCTTACAACCCTTTGTATTTCTTTAGTGTCAGTGTTATTTCTAATGTTTTATTTCTAATTTTATTTATTTGGATCTTTTTCTTTCTTGATGAGCCTAGTTAAATATTTGTCAATCTTGTTCATATTTTCAAAGAACTGGCTAGATTCATTGATTTTTTTGTATTGTCCTTTAGACTGTATTTTTTAAAATTTCTGCTCTGATCTTTATTATTTCTTTCCTTCTACTCTCTTTAGTCTTTGTGGTACTTTTCAAGTTCCTTTAATTGTGAAGTTAGATAATTTATTTGAGCTTCTTCTTATTTTTTGAGGTAGGCCTGTAATACTATATATTTTCTCCCTACTTGCTCTCCCAGTGTCCCACAGATTTTGGATTGTTGTTCCCTCATTTTCATTTGTTTCAAGGAATGTTTTGATTTCCTCCTTGGTCCCATTGTTGATCCATTCATTGTTTAATAACATGTTATTTGGCTTTCATGTCTTTGCATGTTTTTCAGTGTTGTTCTGTTGATTGATTTCTAGTTTCATAGCATTGTGGTCAGAGAAGATGTTTGATATGATTTCAATTTTCTTAAATTTACTGAGCTTTGTTTTGTGTCATAACATGCGGTCTATCCTACAAAACACTCCATGTGCATTCGAAAGATATGTATATTCTGGTGTTTTGGGGTAAAATGCTCTGAAGATATCAATGAAATCCATTTAATCTAGTGTGCTGTTCAAGGTCACTGTCTCCTTGTTGATTTTCTGCCTGGAAGATCTACTTATTGAAGTCAAAGTGATGTTAAGATCCCTAAGTATGACTGTATTTCTGTTGATCTACTCTTTATGTCCACTAAGATTTGTTTTACATATTTATGTGCCCCTATGTCGGGTGCATAAATGTTTACTAGGGTTATATTCTCTTGTTGGATTGTTCCCTGTATCATTTTATTGTGTCCTTCTTTGCCTCTTAGTATGGCCTTGGTTTTAAAGTCTGTTTTGTGAGATATAAGTACTGCTACCACAGCTTTATTTTCTTTTTCATTTGCATGAAATATCTGGTCCAACTCTTTACTTTTAGTCTGTCTGTATCTTTGGATCTGAGATGGGTCTCTAGAAGGAAGCATATATATGGGTCTTATTTTCAGTCAGAGCATTTAAGGCATTTATATTTAAGGTGATTATAGACAGATACATGTGCAGTGCCTTCTTACTGTTGGACTGTTTTCCTCTTTATTTTTTCTCTTTTTCTTTTTCTTCTCTTTAAAGCAAGCCCTTTAACATTTGTTGCAGTGCTGGTTTGTTGCTAAAAAATTTCTTTAGCTTGTTCTTGTCTGGGAAGCTCCTATTTTTCCTTCAACTTTAGATGATAGTCTTGCTGGGTAAAGTAGTATTGGTTGTAAGTCCTTCCTTTTCATCACCTTGAATATTTCATGCCACTCCCTTTTGTCCTGAAATGTTTCTACTGAGAAATCAGATGCCAGGCTAATTAGTGCTCCCTTGTAGGTTACTACCTGCTTTACTCTTGCAGCTTTTTGGATTCTGTCTTGTTTTTAAGCCTTGTCCTATTAATTGTGGTGTGTCTTGGTGTAGGCATCTTTGGTCTTGAGCTTCCTGAGCATGTGTGACTTTTTTCTTCACCAGATTATGGAAGTTTTTGGTCTTTCTTTCTTTCTTTCTTTCTTTCTTTCTTTCTTTTTAGGGAGGGTAAGGGAGGGACAGAGGGAGAGAAACATCAATATGTGGTTGCCTCTCATGTGCCCCCTACTGGGGACCTGATCTGCAACCCAGGCATGTGCTCTGACTTGGAATCAAAACGGTAACCCTTTGGTTTGCAGGCTGGCACTCAATCCACTGAGTTACACCAGCCAGGCTGTTTCTTCAGCTGGGTTCTTGATCTCTTGCTAACTATTTGTCCTTCTGGTATTCCCATGATACAGATGTTGTTATGCTTTATGTTGTCAAAATGTTTCTTAAGATCTCCTCATTTTTTTAAATTCTTTTTTCTTTTTGCTGTTCTGTCTGGGTGTGGTTTTCTACCTTGTCTTCGAAAACTTTGATATGATGATTGTCTGCTTTATCTAGCCTACTGTTTATTCCTTCCAATGTAATAGTTATTTCTGGTATAGCATTATTTCTGACTGTTCGAGTTTTTATGGTTTCTATGTTTTTTTTCATGCTTTTGTGTATACTTACAATTATTACTCTAAGCTCTCTGTCTGAAAGAGTCCAGCCAACCCTCTTGTGCTTTTATTTCATCTAGTTCTGGAATTCTCTTGTTCTTTCATTTGGTGTATGTTTCTTTGTCTTTCCATTTTCCCCCGCTTCTTTGTATTTTTTTGCTCCATCTGCTATACTAATCAACCTTTAAACCAATCAGCTGTTAATCTAATCAAGCTGTAATCAGCAGCCTGGCTTAAGCACTATAGGGTGGGGCAGAGAAATTCCTGGGGGCGGGGCTATTGCTGCCCCTCAGGCTGATGCCATTTGGAGAGGAGTTCTCTGAGAAAGCCTGCTTTTGCATTATGGCTAATGACTCAGCACAGGGACTCTGGTTTCTTCAGTTTTCTCCCCACAACCACCAGCCCCAGACTGCTCTGAAGTGTCTTTAGTCTACTCTGCCCAGGATAAGGGAGCCCCAGGTAAGTGTCTACAGACAAAATTATTGGTCCTTTAAGAGGCTCTACATTTCCAGCCATTTTTCCTTGCCAGACAGAAACCCTGCTGCTTTTCACAGATGGATGTTATCTGGGTTCCTTTCTGGCTCTGGTTGCTGTTGGCTTGGGAGCCCAGCTTGGGGTTTAGACCCCGCACTTCTCAGGGGGATCCCCCAGCTGCTCAAGTATCCCTCTGGAACTTCAGCTGCCACCTGAGGGAGTCCAGCCAGCCCTCTCACGCCTCCTCCACACTCCCTACCAGTCTTCTTGTGAAGCGGTTTCTTCTGCCTGTCTGTCCTTGGTTATAAGGCTTCTTTCCAGCTGGTGTTCAGTTGGTTATTCAGGATGATTTCTCTACATCATCCTGGAAGTTGTAATTCCAGATTGGTCCTGGGAGGAGGTCAGTGTAGCTTCCCCTTGCTCCTCTGTCATCTTAGATCTCCCCAGAACCTTGTTTAAAGTAGTTGCCTTTGAGTAGGTCAGTGCTCTTGAAGGACTGCTTTCGCCCAAACATAGTGTCTGGCATTTTTGTGTCATAGAATAGTAGATTTACTGCAGTTTCAATGTCATTATTCATCTGTAAGTTCTTTACCTATATTATCGTTTCTCTCTGCAAGTTAAGTGACCAGCCCAAGGTCAGAGCTAGATTCAGAGCTTAGAATCTGATAGGTGTGAGGAAGCTTTATTCTCTGAGCTGAGCCAAGCTTTTACTTTAGTACACGAATCAGTGGAGGGCTCAGCTTTTATTCTTCAGGATAACCACTCTCTGAGATAGTAAGTCACACTCCTTGTTAAACATTTAAACAAATTTTTCATCCTGGTTACTTCTTCATGATACCCTAACAGTTTGGAATGATGGCTTTGTGAGAGAGGGCTACTGAAATCAGGCTGCTGTATAAAGCACGTGTGTCTGATGTTTAGTGGACCACTCTGTATTAACTGTGTAGTCATAGAGGGACCGAAAGTCACAGATGGCAATGCCTATGTGAAAAGAAAATGTGCATTTGTGATTTGGCTGAATGAGAAAGTGTTCTGTCCAGTGTTGCAGTGTTTTCCCTGACCCCAGCTCAATTCCTACAACCTATAGTCTCAATCAGCACACAGTGTAGGACTTATTTATGTGTAGGACTTATTTATGTGTAGTACCAATTGCCACTCTTCTGCTACTGTTTGGTTATCGGTGTTCTCCCCCTTGGTAGGTACTGACCTGTTTGCATGTGAGGAGCAAGTCATAACATTGGCGTCCCTCAGCACGTTTAAGACATTTGGCTGATTGAACTATTGACTGCAAAAACTTTTCTTCAGAACTTGGTGCAAAATCTTATACATGTTCTTTCTTGCTCAGTGATAACTACTCTGTGATTTGTGGAGCATCATGGCATAATTAATAAATGTTTGGGTTCTAGAATCAGACTTTGTTAGTTCTTCTCATTACTAGTTTTGGGATCTGAGACAAATCCCTGAATCTCTTTGGGCCTCGGTTTCTTCATCCATAAATAAGAATAACCACTGTTATTTATACAGTTGGGAGCTTTGGGTGAGTTGATATACATGAAACACAGAGAATAGTGCCTGCCACATGAAAAGGGCTCGCTATTGCTATTTTAAGAAATATTAAAGTCTTTAGGGTCTTGACATTCAGGTTAGTCATAATTTATGGGTTCAGGAAGCCTGAAGATTCTATTCACAGCTGGCCTAGGACTTCTGTGAGTAATTTTGAGTCATAATGAAGTGACATAACTCTGGAAAGTTCTAAGTTCAGATGAGTACATATGAACAATGGAGTTGAGTTATTAATACAACCATTTGGAAGAATTTTAGTGCAAGGTTAAGGTGAAAGAAATGGATTGACTCTGAAATCAGTGGCAACACTATGCACTTGAAGTCCTGTTATCTAAGCAAGAAATAATTTTTAAAAATTCATCAGAGGATCTCAAAGCTCAAAAAAAAAAAGAAAATTCCAAATCTCTTTCAGCAAAGTCCTTCAAAGCTGTGGTAGGTTCCTAGTTGAAATCCAGGTGACTGTAGCTTTGCTTAAATAAACACATGGCTTGGAACTACAGATGGGAATGGAGAAAGAAGTTGCTGGTCTCCAAAGATGGCCCCCAGTGAAGTCTGCCTTCCAGCACTCCCACTCGTTCAGTCTTCTCCCCAGGACTCTAGGATGGCCATGAGACTTGCTTTTGACCCATAGCATGCAGTGGATGTGACACTCCATTACTCTGAGGCTTGGTCACAACAAGGCTCACAGTGTTCGCTTATCCTTCTGGAATGCTAGCTCTGTAGGAAGTCATTGACCAGGCAACAAGTCCAACTATCCAGAGAAGACCATGTTATGAAGCAGCAGTGTACTGGGACCACGGACTCTAGTCCATCTTGAGTGTGGAGAATTAGGGGATGAATTGTCTGTAGAGAATTTAAAAACAGTATTAAAACCAACCAAAACTTGATCTGCTTTTTATTATCACCATGCACAAGCAATTCCAAACAATGTAGTGATACAATATCCCTTCCTATGAATGGACCTTTCTGCTTCTCCTCACCCCCTGCCCCCTCCCCCCATACACACCCTGTAAGCCAGTGCCGTGAGGCCCAAGGTAGCCATGTGGAAATAGAGATGTCTAGCCAGCTGCTCCAGCCATCCTAGCCCAGGCATCAGGATGTGAAAGAAGTCATTTTGGGTGTCTGGCCCATGCTGGCTTTCCGAAAACTTTAGCTCCTGTTTTGCGTAAAAGATCAAAAAGCCATAGGCATCCAATTGAGCATAGTCAACCATAGACCTGCAGCTGAGACTATAAGTAGTTGTCCTAGGCGACTAAGTTTTGAAGTGGTTTGTTATGCAGCAATTGATAAACAGAACGGACAAGAAGCAGGTAAGAAAGAAAAAGCCACTCTCTTCTGTTTTTTTATTCTTGTAAACATAAAATAACACCCAAGTATCCTTTGCTGTGTAGGGTTTCTAGAGATCTGCTTATCTCAACATTAACAGAAGCCAAAAGTACTTGATTTCACCATTAGATGGAAATTATATCTATGTAGATGTTGCTAAGCAATAAGAGATCAAAAACCTCTAAGGGGTGACCACAGAATGCAAAGCACTGGGTCAGCCTACTAAGTTCTTGATGCACTTCCTAGTTTTAAAAGCCTGTTGTAGGAAGAAGTGATATCTACAGTGTGGGAGGAGGAAGGTCTCAAAGGACCTTAAAGGGACAGTGCACACTTCATTATTATTTACCTAAAATGATGAGCAAACCAAAAAGCCAACCTATGACCTGAAAAATGGTCATTTGTGATTTAAAAGAATAAACTCTTTAGGAATAAATACTAATAGCACTACTAACTTTGTCTCTTCTCATCCTCACATCATTTAAAAATACATTTGGCCCTGGCCAGGGGGCTTGGCTGGTTGGAGTGTTGTCCCATACACCAGAAGGTTGCAGGTTCAATTCCTGGTCAGGGCACATACCTGAATTGTGGGTTTGATCCCCAGTTGGGCGCTTATGGGAGGCAATTAATCAACATTTCCCTCTCACATTTATGTTTCTCTCTCTCCCCAATTCCTTTCCTCTCTCTCTCAAATTGATAAGTATATCCTTGGGTGAGAATTTTAAGGAAATACATTTGTAAGGGTTAAAATCCTTTCCCTTGAAATAACCTCAACTTTAAATATTTATTAAAACACAAATTAATATTCAATGGCTTTCAGGGCCCTATGAGCATGTTATTTAGTGAAGAGCAGATTCAATATTTTTTTGAAAGAGAACATCAGTGGGTCTGTGGGGCCCTATACACTCTTCCTTTGGCTGGACAGAGAGGCAGGCTGAGAAAGGGGCCTGGGAATAGCCAATTAGCAGGTGCATATGAAACCCTTCAGGGTCAGAATAAAGTGTGTGCCCTGTTTTTCACCAACAGTAGTCATTTTCATTATTTCCTCTGGGTGACCTTTTGTCCCTCGTTTGCTTTTTTTTCTCTTGACAATTAATTTTTAAAAACAAATTTAAAAGGTAGAAAAAAAAGGTAAGCTCAACAGAAGAGAAATGGTAACTGAATGTACGTATTTTATCAAGATCCTGTGTACCCCAAGCACACATAATTGGGGCGCCCACAAGTGTCCCAAACCTTTCATGAGACGTGGGTATTGAGAGGGATAACCACGCACAGTGAGCGGAGAACCTGCCCGCAGCCGGCCAGCGTTGCTGTGGTGAGCGCTCCCTCCACAGAGCCTGACCGGAGCAGACCCACCAAATCCTGCGTAAGTGGTCAGAGTACAAATGAGGCTGTCGGTGGGTAGTCCTACCCTATTCACGAGCTCTTTCAGAACAATTTTCATTACTTTTTTTAAACACTGTTTTTGGCAAACACTCGACACTTGAAATAAAAAGTGCATGAGTCACCTACTGGGACAGGCACAGTATGTGGTTCATTGAATTTAGCTAAATTGTGAGTCATCCATCAATAGTCCTCTCGGTGAACATACTTGTAATAATTTCACATGTTACAAACAAAAATAGGTATGATTTTCAAGATTCTTGAAGCTATTTTCCTTGGGGATTTTTTTGGATTGTGTTTAGTGCTATTTGTTTTGCTAGATGGTGAGAAAATTGTCAGCCTTCTTTTCAGGTGAATCCGAAATTTGTCTCTGTCATGTTGTAAAAGAACTATGATTTGGGAAGCTTTTGGGGTGTAACATGGACCTGGAGTCATGAGTTGGGGAAAATAACAAGAATTAATGATTCATGTATGTTCTTGTCAGATCATTGGCCTTTAAGATTAATTTTGGCATCTGAGAAACGGTGGGCTCCACTCTCAGAAGAACAGTGTCGGAGCTGCAAAACGCGCACAGGGCGGCTTTGTGTCCCCGGAGAAGGGCGGCGCGGGCGGTGCAGAGTCTGTGCGCCGCTGCCCTCTGTCGGGTGGCGCCAGCACTCCTCCGGCCGGGCCCCACCGTGCACGAGGCTCCTGGTCTGACAGCAAATAAGTCAGCACTGGACTAAAGCCAGTTCTGGTTTTTGTTTTTTGTTTTTTTTAATAGTTGGCTTGTATAAACTAAAAGGAACGTGTCTCTGGCCAGAGCGGTAAGAGTCTAGGGTTTCTGGCGGAAGGCCCTTGCTTCCTTTCTGGTGTCTGCCTGGTCAGAGGCTGGCATCTGCTGTTTGAATGGCGTGGCAGATGTGATTAAGCCGCTAGATCCTTGCCTTTTCGAGAAGTAAAAATAATCAGAAGAGAAAGTATTCCTGGCTATTACTTTTCCTGTCTTTGATAAGTGTAATAAAGCCATAAAAGGGTTTTTGCTTTTGTCTAGGACCAGAAGTGAAAGTTTTTACATGGCTGTAGAAGAAGTTACGGTTCTTTTCAAATGATGCATAAAGTGCTCATACCTGTAGGATGTCTGCAGGAGGCTCAGGAATCTGGTTGGGGAGTTTGCTTGGTTTGGGCGCATGTCTCTGTCTTCCTTCATCTTCCCCACTGTAGCAGGGTTCAGTGTCAAGGCTGGAGCCTTGGAACCCTGTCCTGCTGCCACTTGGGAAAGTTGTGTGGCTCTTGAAACGTCATGTTTCTCATGTCTGTAAAATGAGGCATTTGGAAAAGATGATTTCTTAGGGTTATTTCATTTTGGAGAGTGGAATAAAAATGATCTTTTCTCCCTAGGTGATAATATAAGCCCTCTCTCTTTGTCTCTATCTCCCTCTCCACTTGTCTTTGAAAAAGCAAGGTATTCACTGTGCTAATTTAGGACCAGGAGGTGAGGTGGTGGAAACAGCATTGGAGACTCCAGCAGCAGTCTCTGGGGCCAGCAGATGGCGCACTTGCACAGTCCACACGTTCTCCAGGCTCCCAAGGTAAAGTAAATGGTACTGATTAGCATCCAAAAATCAACAGCTACTGGTTTGAACAAATTGCAATACTTTCCAGACTACTAAAAGCATGGCACTTTTTTTTTTGAGTTGGAACATTCACTAATATTTATATAATGGTTAGGAAGGTTGTTTATGACACTTTCATCACCGACAGCACCTTTTACCTGGGCACAAAAAAAAACTTCAATGTGCTTATTTTTTTTTCAGGTGAAGAAGTAAGGGCAGAGAATAAGATGGCTAAAGTCACAGCAGAACTAGTCCAAATAATTCAGACCATACACCTTGGTGTTCTTTAAAAATTCTCATTCTTAGCTTTCCCTCCTCTAATGCTCATTCCTCTTGGTTGCGAAGGGGCATGCGTGTGTGCTGGGTTGTTGTCTGGGAGAGGGGAGGAGAAATGGACGCCTTTCGGGCCTTTGGGGCGTCGTTGCCTGCCACAGCCGCTGCAGCGCCTGACCTCCCTCCTCCTGGTGAGAAACCTGTGATAATCCCAGATGCCCTGTGTGGAGTATTTGCTCTGAGCCAGGCATAGTTTCAGCAGTTCTCATGTGTCAGTATTAATCATTTAATCCTCCTAACACCCCAGAGGGAGGCAGAGTGGGTGAACCACTTGCTGGGAGTAACAGATCTGTAGACTTTCTAGGCTCCGAATTAAAGTGATAAGGACAACAAACTACTTTTTTTCAGTGATAACCACTTTTGACCCCAAGTATTTTCCAACTACTGGATCGTGAACTGATTTTTAATTTTTATTTAAAGTATGGGAAATTTACGGGAACTTTGGTTATATTGTGCCAGCCTTGGTTACATCAGTTAGCGAGCTAGTGTTGGTTTAGAAGAATTCCTTCTGCACCTCATACTTAAAAGGAGTGGTTCACCAGAAATGGAAAAAAGATGTGAATGAAATAAGGAAGTTTGTATGGCAGTTTAATCACACAAGTAATAAATATTTTTCAAATGCTCACTTTGTCCACTAGCCATCAAGCAGCATTAGGGACGCACACTATGTGAATGATATGTATTTGTTACACAAGAACGCAGAGTGCCCTTGGACGCCAGACACAAACATTAGTTCATGTAACCCTCATCACAACTGTGGTGAGCCCCATTTTACAGACGGGGAAGCCAAGGTTAAGGGAGATTATGTGAACAGCAAGTAGGTGACAGAGCCAGAATTCAAACAGGCTTCTGTTTCTGATCATGCCAATACCCCCTGGGCGGTGCTGCCGGCTGCAATGGGTAGCAGGTACCTCGGTGGAATGCGGAGCCGTTTCACCAGAGTCCACAACAGGAACCACACCTGTTGATTCCCAACCACCTAACACAGATCCTGGTAGAGCAAATAATTTCTAAAATAAAAAATGAGAGTAAAACTCAATAAATGACCTCTTAGCCTTGGTAAAAGAGAAGAGTGACCAAAAATAACAGGAGACCACAGGGAGGCCTACACATTTTTTAGACAAGCATTAACGTTGGTGCTATTTAGAGATGATTAGTTCTTCATTTTCACTGAGGACTAAACAAAAGGAAGTTGTATTAAACCACAGTTGTATATGAATAAAGAACTGTTGTCTTTACCTCCCCCTTCTAAAAAAGGGTAAAAAGGCTTTGATGTAAGAAAGCAACATTCCAGAGCAGCCTGGCATTGTTTTAGTCCTGAGTGTGGGTGGCTCCGAAACCAGGACCACTGACATATTGCCAGGGGCCTACAAATCCCGAATACACGTCCAGCCTCATGAATACACTGAACACGTACTCACACGTATTTCACTCCTGTATTTCAACAGGAGTATGTGCTGTTTTACTTACCACATTACAAAGTTACTTCCACAAATTTATGTGCAAATGAATTCACAGCAGCATTCTGTTGTATTTTTTCTTAATATAAATATAAGGTCTAAAATATGAGCTATAAAGTTTAGATTCTACAGCAGCTTACTCCTTTACAGTCTTAAGCATGTTAAAATATACATAGAATTTTATAGGTAACTTGGATTAAAAAATGAAAATTGGAAGTCTTTCAGCAGCAACTTAAAAAAAATCTCTGGACTGATCAGAGGGTGCTTTGTATATATCCTTAGGACTGTGAAGAATTACCTAGAGGCAAGACAAGAGCTCATTAATTAAATATTTCCGTACTGGACACTCATCATGCCTGACAGTTCTCTCATTATGTGCCCCTCAGAGGGACACGAGTTGTCAGCAGCTGATGTAGAATAATTTTCTCGCTGCTGTAACTGGAGGAGAAAAGGCTCGATAGCAATTCTTCATGTCTATTAGGTAAATTATTTGAGGAAAATGGTTTTGCACTAAAGGGAGAGTCAAAACATCTCGTGCAAAATCTTAAAATAATTTGTTTCTTATGAGAAAAAAATAACTTTCTCCAAATGTAAACATCTTTTGCTGCTGCCCCCAGGACCCCTCCACCTTTGCCGCCTCTGTCCTCAGGTGTATTTCTCTATTTATTACGTAGTGAATATTCTATATGCCTGATGTAACAGAAATGCCAAGTGTGAAGCATTCAGTTGTTTTTACTGAATATTATAAACTGAGAAATTCGGCAATACTTTGTGGCCTTTATGGTGGGCAAGATCTTTTGGATATTCTTTCAATTATTCTTTTCCTTGACAGAAATGAATCCATTTTTACACTCATATTTATGTCTATGATCTACATGTATGTCTATCTGTATCTGAATCTGGTAGAAAATTGTGCTTTGTGTTTCTCTTTACATGAATTATAAAAACACAGCTTGGGTCATTTGGCTTATTATGCTGGTTCCCACAAACAAAAACTGATGCGGTCCTGTTTCCACAGCTGATTTAAATGGAGCAAAGGAAGGCATTTGTAGATGACATGGAGATGAAACCTGAAAGGCCATCAGAGACTTACCTCTGGAAAAGCACTGGATCCAAATAGTTTTACAAGCAATTCTTGCAAACTTTCATCAGAGACACTATTTTAAATATTTCAAAGCTTTTTAGTTCATTTGGTAGTAACTCTGACGCCCAAAGAAAACCATATGTAAAACTAACTGAAATGCAAAACCATCAGATTAAACCGTTTAAAACAAACAAGCTGGACTAAGGTTTATTTTATGGCACCGGTGTCACAGATGCCTTGGTGCTCCACCCACGCCCTACCGCCCACCTCTGATGTCCACCACTGCAGTCTCTCAGCTATTCTGCCTGAGAGCTCCCCCAGCCTTGGGAGCCGCAGTGTACGATTGGGTGCAGCCTAGAGGAGTGAAGGAGTTCATGTCCCCAGAGACAACCTTCGGACATTGGGACAAAAACTCAATACGGAGGCATTCCCAGGTGCATTACGTAATTACTCGGAGGGTTCCCCAAAGAACCTGAAGCCCAGTTGTTTTTAGTAATCATTGGCTTATCAGTGAATTCTTTATTTCTTTTCCTCCTTTTCTGTCCTGCTTTCCCCTCTGCTCGCTCCAGTTTCTTGGATTTACCTCTCACGTAGACCACCTGTATGTACTGAGGTTCCTGTGTCAGGCTCTGCTTTGGGGAGAATCTAAGCTAAGACATAAAAATGATTCATTATTAGGAATTCCTTAACATAATTCATCAGTATGTCAGTAGAGGAATTAACAAATTCAAAAGAAAGCATTTGATATAATTCAACATCGGTTTAGATAAGAAGTACTGCTAAAACTTGAATAGAAAAAAACTTCCTTACTATCAGAGATTACTCAAGAAAATAGAAACCACTCTGCATATGTAAAAAGGAAGTTTCATATGGGAATTGATTATAAACACAATGAAAGGACTGGAGGAAGGTAAGGTTACTAAGAACAGCAACTGCAGTAAACAACCAGAACTCGGGCTAAAGGACAACGTCTCCCAGCAGTCAGGGCGCTGTGCCAAAGGGCTCCTGCTTTTTGGAGTCAGCTGCTGTGAAGGACTCAGAAGTGTACCCACCCCCTGCTGTTGCTGCCCTTGGCCATTGCTAATGCTGCTTTTGGTATTATTGTTGCTACTGTTACAAGTAGACACTGTCCTCGCTGCTGCTGCTGCTACCACCAGATATATCATCAGGAGCCAAAAGTAGGAAGAGGGTTGCTGCTTCCATCTTCCAGTCTTCTAGTCTTCCAGCAGGGCCTTCCACTGACAGAACCTACCAGAAGCCAGCTGGCAATGTCTGGGAAATGCAGCTTTTGTTACCTCAGCCCTCTAACTACATCAATCAAAGCAGAAAATATTGAGAATAAGACCTTAGAGCAAAATTGTTGGCCGAATAAAACCTGCAAACACAATCATAGAAAACTGAAATACTAACAGATTTTTTTCTTTTAAAGTCAGAGACAAGGCAAAGTTGCAAGTTATCACAATGCTTTTTTCTTTTTCTTTTTTAAATCCTCACCCAAGGATACATCCTTTTATTTTATTTTTAAAAGACTTTATTTATTTTTATAGAAAAGGGGAGAGAAGGAGACAGAGAGGAACATCAGTGTGTGGTTGCCTCTGGTGTGCCTCCTGCTGGGAATCTGGCCCACAGCCCAGGCATGTGCCCTGAATGGGAATCAAACTGGTGACCCTTTGGTTTGCAGGCCAGTGCTCAATCCACAGAGCCACACCAGCCAGGGCACATCCATTGATTTTAGAGAGAGGAAGGCAGACAGAGAGAGAGAGAGAGAGAGAAACAGCTATGTGAGAGGGAAATATGATTGTCTGCCTCCCACATGGCATCTCAACTGGGGATTGAACTGCAGGCCTTTGAAACACAGGACGATGCTCCAACCAACCAACTCATTTGGCCAAGGCAAAAGTCTTTAAAAATTTTTTTTAATAGAGATCTAAATTATATATCATATAATTCATTCATTTGAAGTGTACAATTCAATGGTTTTTATATATTCACACATATCTGAGCCCAACATCATAGTCAATTTTAGAGTTTTGATCACCTCAGCAAGAAATTCTGCATCTTTTAGTTGTCACCCTCTCAGCCCCATGTCCCTCCCCACACTTAGCCCTAAACAACTATTAATCTGTTTTCTGTCTCTATAGATTTACCTACTTTGGCTTTTCATATAAATTTTATCATATGACATTTGGTCTTTAGTGACTAGCTTATTTCACTTAACATGTTTTCAAGGTTCATCCATGTTATAGTATGATCAGTATTTTATGACTTTTTATAGCCAAAGAATATTATGTTATATGGAAACACTGCATTTCATAACTCCTATTTAATAAAATTTTTTAAACTTATAACTAACTTAGTATAAAAATAGGTATGACCATCCAAAAGTAAAGGACAAAATTATCCTTATTTTCTGATTATTTAATTGTGTACCTGAAAGCCAAAAGAATTGAGGAGTATGATTATATTTCATTAGAGTACTCTACATGGTGACTTTCCTGTAGAACAACCTGTTAGCAAATATTGTGGAGAAATATTTCATTTATAATATCACAAAAAGCTTCTGTACTTATAACAACAGTAAGATATACAGTGCACAGAATACATACACATCTTCTCAGGGACTTGTGACTTCCATAACTGAGAAGCCATTATGTTGCTGGGGTAGAGACAGTATTATAAATATACTATAAATTAATTTACAAATATGTTGCTTTGAAATCAAAATCCTAATTACATTTATGTAGGAACTTTATACAACAATTCTTAAGACTGTCTGGAAGAATAAATGGAAGGGAATATCAGTAAAATTTTGAAAAAGAAAAGTAATGAAGTGAATGAACCTATATTATGAGATATTTAATGTATCAGGAATAAAAAAATAAATAATTAAACAGGCTGTTCTTGTACCAAGAATAGACAAAGTAATCAGTAAAATATAATATATAATGCAGAAGAAATGTTAAATATACATAAGAAATGAGTATATGATTAAGATATAATTACAACTTATCATTATTATTCAAAAGGATACCTAACTAGTGACATGCCACCGTATAGTCATCAAGCTTACTAGAATCAGACATTTTATTAACCCACTTTAATAAGCTCCCTTGTGCTTAAACTGGCAAATGTTTTTAGAGAGCTTTGGGAATTTTAAGAACTGAAAGAAAATAATTACCAATATAATATTCCACACCCATAAAAACATCCTTCAAAAAGAAGATAAAGTGAAGATATTTTCTAATAAAAATAGACAGAATTTTTCACAAACAGACTTGTACTAAAAAAAAATACTGAAGAAATGTGTTTAGGCAAAAGTAGCATGAACTTGACTGAAACACAGAAATAGAGGCATAAAGAAGAGCTACAGAAAATGTAAATATGTGGATAAAGTTAAAAGAATATATGCTATACAAAACAATAATAATAGCTCATAGAATTAAAATATATGTACAATTAAAAGTCATGATAATAGAGACTTCCGGTCAAGATGGAGGTGTAGGTAAATGTGCCTTGCCTCCTCATACAACCACAGCACAATTACAGCTAAACTACTGCACAACTATCATTCAGAACCATCAGAAAATTGAGCTGTATGAAAATATAACAATTAAGGGTTTAAAAAAACCACATTCATCCAGACAGATAGGAGGGCTGCAGGGGCAGGGACACAGAGACTGAGAACGGGCTGGTCATAAACCCATCCATGGTGGATATTAAAAGGAGGGATATCTTGGGAGTGAGGGATCCCAGCCCCACACTAGACCACCCAGTCCAAGGTTCCAGTGCCAGGAAGATAAGTCCCTATAAATTCTAGCTATAAAAACCAGTGGGGGCTGGGTTGGCAGAAGAAACTGGGATCCTCAGGCATCTTCTTTTAGAGGGCCCTGCAAATGGTCTTACTCAGACTCACTTCCTCTGGGTTCCAACATCAGAGCAGCACCTTGAAGGGCACCAGTGGCATATGGGGAGCAACTAAAGTGTCTGGAATCAGGGCAAGAGCTCGGGCACAGCTCCCTCCCAGAGAAAACTGTAGACTTCTGCCATTGTTCCTTTTCTGAGCCCTCCCCAAAACAGAGCTACAGTGCAGCCCCACCATATCTGAGTCTCCATCAACCTGGCTCCCGTGGTTAACCCCGTCCTGATGATTACCTAAGACTCTGCCCCATTCAACCTAAGGACCACCCAAGCTGGTAATAGTGCCTTTTCCATATGAATGGCTAGGCTAGGTGCATGTTTCAGACCTCCCTAAATCCTCTCAAACAACAGCTGAGCCCAGTACATCTTCCCGAGTGGCCTCAGGCATGGTACTATCAGCAGCCATCTACACACTGCTTTATGGCTTGTGCCAAGGGGCCCCAGACAGAACACAGGTGGTGGCTGACCTTGGCCTGCACCCTCTGGGAAACCCCAGAGCTTGTGCCCCCAGTAGACAGTTATAGACTATGTTGGCACACCACCACCCACCCACTTCAATTAGTCACAGAGGGAGATGGTTGGTGGCCAGTGGTCACAGTCAGTTCTATCAGCTGTTTGACCTGGGTAAATCCCTCCCATTGACCTGCTCACAGCAATGAAGACTTGACAACAAAAGGAGGGAGTACTCAACCTACACAAGGGGCACACCTTGTACACCCAGCTTGGGTGATAGGGGATGCTATACCATTGGACCCTACAGGACACCTACTACATTAGTTCATGCTACCAAGATATAAAGTCAAAGCAGCTCTACCTGATACATAGAAACAAATGTAGGGAGATTGCCAAAAGGAGCAAAGAAATAGGGCCCAAATTAAAGAACACAATAAAACTCTAAAAAAAGGGCTAAACAAAATGGAGATAAGTAATCTATCAGATGCAGAGTTTAAAACACTGGATATAAGGATGCTCAAGGAACTCGGTACTTCAACAGCATAAAAATGATATAATCAAAAATTAAGGAGCCACCAATCGAAATAAAGAACAATATATAGGTATTCAATAGTGGAGTAGATAAACCCAAGAATCATATTGATGATCTGGAACATAACAAAGGAAAAGATATCCAATTAGTACAGCAAGAAGAAAAAAGAATCCAAAAAATCAAGGATAGTCTGAGGAGCTTCTGGGACAACTTC